CGATAATATAGATTAGGAAAATCTGCAGATATAAATCAGCAGCACTTCTAAATACAGTAAAATAACGATGCATTTAACATTTATTAAAGTATATTCCACTGCGTGCCCTAATTTCCCGCTCATAAAACCCGATAATCACCGTTTTCGTAGGAAAACATGCAGGGAGTAGGGATTAATGAGTGGGGCTAAAATACCGTTTTCGTAGGAAAACATGCAGGTTGTAGGGATTAATGAGTGGGGCTACATAAGCTACTGTTGTCCAATCTTATATGTGGCCTACCTACCGGGCGTCTATTCCCTGTTGTCCTTATTTGGGTACCTGAGCGACTTGCGGTATAGTACAACTCGAGAAAGCGGATTTAGAAAAAGAGAAGTCGGATGAAAACGTGTCAACAGCGATAAGAACAAAAGTGCCACAGGTAGTGGATTTGATTTCGGAATACAATAGAGGTGTTCTGTTTGTAAAATTTCTCAATCAAGTACTAATCAGGTGTGCAATTCGCTTACCGCGAATAAGACTTTGAACCTGGGATCTGGCAGCTCTTTTGGATCATAGGTCTGTTATCTCGCGGATATTGTTTATTTGGGCTGACATTTGCAAGTGCTTATGGTTGTTTTCCGGTTGGCCTCTTGGTTCTTACGAATCGCCAGAGTTTCTTCGCAAGTTACTTACTAGCGACACTCTGGAAGTCGCTTAGGTTAGTCTTTGGTCTTCTTTTACTGCTATTTAATCAAATAGTCATAGTTTGAAGAAGTAATGAACGCGCCCTAACTGACCGAATATTCACCTGTGATAAAGTTGCAGCTAGTTCGCCATAAAGTGGCTATCTTAGAGAGGTGTGCTATTGTGCCAATGACTTGGCCGACTGACTAACTACCATTGGTTGACCCCCGTTTACCTTATCTATGAGCTTGTCTTGCGCTTGTAATCTTAACTGTCACCTGTCCTGTTGTCAGCTTTGCGTAATGAGCCGCATTTGTGTCGGTTTTGCGTCCAGGGCGCGCGATTTTGCGAAATACACACACCCAGCAAGTTCGCACCTTGCCAATTATGCCCTGCAAAATAAGTCATGCTTTCATTCTTGCACACTGCATAACATTGATCCGTCCTGGTTTGCGGTGACCAAACCGCATATTTGCACTTTGAGTGAGCGTTGTTGTTGTTTTGTGGGTTTGTTTGGAAGGCTTCGGTATGTTGCTATGTGTCAGTGGTCTGTCAGCGCTAGTGGATAGTCTAACAGAACTTCGAGTAAATGAGACGGGTGCAGCAGTCGAGTCCGGGGAGGCAGTGCAGCTACGGAAAGCCTCTTGGTTTCACCCAAATCCCTACATCTAACGCCTCCTACACTGTGGTCACATGGAATCCTCAAGCACCATAAGTTTGGGCAAGCCGATGTCATTCCCCCCTCGTTGATGGCTAGACGTCCGTGTTTGAAGTGCCGTAGCATCTGAGTTCTATTACTGTGACAGTATTTCCGTGGCGAAGTGTCAACTTTCTTCCTCTTACGGCCGTTGCTTTTAGGGTGGTTTAACAAAGCTCGATTTGCACGGCTCATTTGATCTTCTCCTTCCCGACAGAACATAGGGACAGCAACCGTCCATAACAGGGGTTACGGTAGGGCTAGGGGTAAGATTCAGTTTCGGGATTAATCCGATAAAATTGGCTTAATAAATCAAATGTTT